GATGAGAGATGTGTGAAAACAAACAGTGTGAGCAGCTTTTCTCACCATCAGTCAAAGATGCATCAAGCAGATAAAGGATTTTACTGATGTGAAACCTGCTGGTTTCTGAATTTATCTCTGAGCTGTTTTTGTTTTCTGAGGAACTATGAAGTGGTTGGTGAGGATGTGGCTGAAACAGCAGCAGAACTGCAGACTACACCTCTAACACTGACCACTTGAACACAAACTGTTCACAACACTATCAAAAATGTTTTAACATTAAAAAAAAGATTACGACTTAAAACAGTACAACACAAAACTTGCCTACTTGTTGGCTACAGCAAAGTGACRCTCCACTATAAAAAGTACAGTTAAGAATTGACTTGTTCCTTTTTTCAGAACTTCTCTGTGTTCAGACATCATTTTAACCCCAAAATCTCCCAAAAGTGAAATGCCCTAAAACATGATGTCCACATGGTGCAGCGCATCCTCATTTAACAAGAGCTACACTTCCTGTTTACTCCTTCAAAATAAAAGCTTCACAACAGTGCAGTAACTGCACTGGCTAATAACTCCGCCTTRTATCAAGGAGGCAGCAGAGAAAGGATGCTCTGTTTAGTTTCATTTTTATAAAACTTTTAGTCTGTATTTAAAAAAAAATAACTCATTGTAGCAGTAAACTGCTGTGACCTGACCACAAAAGCAGAACTCTAAATGACAAGCTTTACTTTAAAAAGAAAGGGAAGTGGGAACAATACACATCTTTTGAAATATTTAATATATGCCAACCACCTATAAAAAGATAAATGTTAAAACTTAATCTTTTCAGGAACCTTGCYTCTGTGAGAAACTCATCCTCATAAACCGAAAGGTCCTGCTGGACAAACTGCTCAGAGGGTGCAGTTCTTCATTCTGGCCACTAGATGGAGCCATCTGACCAAATAAAACATGACAAGTTATATTCAGCATTTATTCATTAAGGAAGTAACAATTCTGGGATTTAAGGAAAAGTTCATCACTGATTATATTACACCCCATAATGTCTTCTATGTATAAAGTTATTTCCTGTTTGTAAATTAAAAAAATCTACATTTTTAGATATTTAACAATCTTACAGAAGCTGAAACACCCACTTACTTAAAACTTTAAAACCTAAAGTTAATTCATGTAATTTAAATATAATAAAGTGACCTTTAATTCAACACATCTGCAGACTAAACAAGGATACATTTTATTTAAAATGAATCCAAAAACCCGCTGGGTGCGGTCCTGGGCTGTGGGTCGGCTCGGGGCTTGGACGGTTGCCGAGGGCGGGGCTGGCTCTCCATCCTCCCCTGGTGC